ACACAGAATCTGAAATAGGCTCTAGGCTCTGAGCTGTCAGGGCTCGAACTCACACACTGCGAGATCATGACCCGAGCTGAAGTCAGTTGCTTAACTGACTGAGCCACCCAAGCACCCCCTGCAATTTTAAATCTCAGGGCTAATATTTACTAGCTTTTGTGACCTTGGGCAAGTAATTAACTCCTCAGTTCCCTCATCTGTCAAATGAGGATAACGATATTTCCAAACTCATGCCATGTGAAGACTAAGATACACATAAAACAGCATAGTGCCTGACACACACAGCCAACACTCAGCATATATGAACTGCTATTATCGTTATGTTTAATAACCCTCAATGGAATTGTCATTGAGGTTAGCACCCAGGGCCACATTAGTACTCCAGACATGAAAAGTAGGGTTCTATTACTTTTAAATGCAATTTAATCTTCCCACAAATATAAGAAGATGCAGAGTTATGACTTGGTAAGTACAACCCCCCTGATTGCCATATTCACAAATATAAGGAACAAATGAAGGAAAATCCCCCATACATGAATGTTTCTTCTCACCACCCTCGGGCCAACACCACAAACCTGAGTTCTCTCGCTAACTGAAGGAATTCTGTTGTCTTGGCTACTCTTTAAGGAGGAGGGATTGGGTTTTTGTAGTCACTTGGAGATGCACAAACAAGGGTCAGAAACTACCATTTTTTCAGTGATTCTTTTAGCACCAAACAGGGTGCCAGAAAAAATGTCTCAGTGTTGGAGAAAATGTGTGTTCTTTTGTACCCTGAGGGAAGTCCTGCTGAACATGTACAACTCCTGGGACTTACTGGATCAAAAAATACTTCTCTTCCAATTGACATCAGTGGAGTAGGCTACAATGAATATTTGGGGCCAAGGGGACTTTTTTAATGTATTAAATATGTAGTTTCCTCTATTCCTTTCAAATTAATTTAAAGTGGGGGCACCTGGTTGGTTTAGTCAGGTAAGCGTTCAACTTCCACTCAGGTCATGATCTAGCGGTTCTTGAGTTCGAGCCCTGCATCGAGCTCTGTGCTGACAGCTTGAGCCTGGAGCTTGCTTCTCATTCTGTGATTCCCTCTCTCTCTCTGCCCCTTCCCACTCATGCTCTGTCTCTGTTTCTCTCAAAAATAAACATTAAAAAAAATTGTAAGTGAATTAAAAGATCTATATAATAATATTAACACGTTTAAATCCTTTGTTTAAATCACCTTAAATTATGTGTGTGTGTGTATGTGTGTGTAGAGATTAAATGGAGAGTATAAATTTAATAACCGTGAGGAATAATATAGCTGTGGTATTTAAACATAAAAGTTGGTTGTGAGTTTCCTGGGGCCAAGCAAATAGGAAACATAAGTTTTGTACCTCTTGGGATAATGACTGCCAGGTACTGAGTACCTACCATTTCCTGGGTACTGTATTAAGTCTTTTACATTTTTTATTTTAATTACTTTACATTCTACTCTTTAACATAGGTATTATTCCCTATTTAACATATGAGGGTGCTGAGTCTCAGAAAGACGAAATTGCCTACATTCATATAACCAGAAAATGGTAGAACCAGGATTCAAAACCAAAAGCTAAATATTAAATGCATTTCTTCTACCACTTCTCTTAGGAAAAAATAAGAAAACCAATTTTGTAATCATCTTCCTCACTGTAAACTGCAAGTGATATTTTTCCTGTGAAGCATTACAAATAAGGGTGATTTTTATCCAGATTTGGGAGTAGGGGAGGGAAAGAGAGAAGGAGAGGGAAGGAAAGAGAGACAGAGAGAATATGTATTTCCCCTCAGCCCAGCTATCATAAGTGAGAACTAGATATCAAAGAAAAGACTATATGTTTTCCAGTTTCATGTGGAAAGAAAAGTTCCTCTCTCTACACATTATGGTGGCAATGCTGTATTTGAACATCTGGACTGCTCAACATAGACCATTTCTCCTGCATTCAAAACAAAGGATCTCTGAGGCCCAGAAAGCTAGACTCAGCGCTGAGGAACACAGGCTGTTCAGCAGTGTCTCAAAGTGGTTGCCAAAGACAGATTCCCCCAAAAGGGAGCCATTTACTTCTGGGTACAGTGTGCCACCTTGTGAGCTGGAGAGGATGTGCAATTTCCTGAATGACAGCCAGCCCGCAGCCCAAGCTGTAACTTGGGCCCCAGACCCCAGGGGGCACCACATACCATGTATTTGGAGGTGTGAGATATGGAAGTCCTTTTTACTGGCTCCCAGGGCCAGCCCTAGGCTGCACAGAGAAATGACTGATGTGAGTATTTACCGGAAACATTACTGAGTGCTGCAAATCCAACATAGAAAATCATGAACCTGGAGTCATTAAATTTGTTTCTGCCAGTAACTACTCCAAGTGACCTTGAGCAAGTTGCCTCATTGCTCTGGGCCTCATGTGCAAATGAGAAAGGCCAGCCAGGTGATCTGCAGGATCCCATCCAGCTCTGAGAGGAGCTGTCACCTCTCTGGTCTTCTCACTGGCCTCAGGTTTCTGATCCCCTTTGTTCACTACTGTCAAAGTTACCTTATGAGATACAGCTATGCTCATCACATCTGTAATAGAGCACACAAAACCTTTCACAAGTGGACCGTTTGCCTACTGTTCTTTTTTTTTTATTATTTCTTTTTTTAATGTTTTTTAATTATTTTTGAGAGAGAGAAAGAGAGAGAACACAAGCAGAGGAGGGACAGAGAGAGAGAGAGAGAGAGAGAGAGAATCCAAAGCAGGCTCCACGTTCTGAGCTGTCAGCACAGAATCCCACGTGGGGCTCAAACCCACAAACCACAAGATCATGACCAGAGCCAAAGTCAAACACTTAACCAACTGGGTCACCCAGGTGCCCCCATTTGCCTACTGTTTTTTGCCTACCACCATGTTCATTCATTCATTCAATTATTCTTTCAAGAAATATGTATTCCCCACCATGTCCCCCTGTCCACACTATCCCGAGCACATGGGACTACTTGCTGTTCCCCTAACATGCCAGGCTTCTTTGTTCTTCTGTGTTTGCTTATACTGTTCCCTGTGCTATGAATGCCCATCTCCCGTTTTCCACTAGACCAACTCAGATTCATTTCAGCGCAAATCTTCTCCTTTCTGAAATGTCCTGGATAGCTATCACCCTCTGTGTCTTCTTATCATTTCCTGCCTTGATTATAGTATTTAGCACATTGTTTTGAAATTACATGTGTACATGTATATAACAAGGTAATAATATCTTGATACACTCAGAGGTGTGATTTTTTTTTCCTCTTCAAATTCCTTCCTCTGTATACTTCTCCTACCCTTTTTTATATGTATTTTTATATGTACTTTTTATAGTACTACCCTCAGGATAGGGCAATTAGTGCCACAATCAGCAGAGAAAGGATTCATTGCACAAATTTGAACACCAACATGGACTTGTGAGATTCATAGCAAAATTATGAAGTTGATAGATAGGACAGAAAATCTTTTCTAGATTTCAAGAGCTTGAACACTTTAAGTACAAATGTCAATATTTATACCATTAGCAAAAGATTATACAGCCAAGAGCTGAAGAGCCAGCCTACCCAGCTACTCCATTTCTACTCTCGCCTAGACTAGAAGAAAGTTATCCAAACTAGAGTTAAAGATAGGTATCAGGTTTCTGACACCAGCCTATCCTCAAGCCAAGTTTCAGGTGGGAGTGAGAAGTTAGGCCCCACTTTCTCCCTCGGACCTGGAAAAGTAGCAACAATGCAGATGTATTCTGAGCCAGTGGTAGCATTAAGGAGAAAATGTGCTGTGCCATGTTGAGGCAAAGGAGGGATGAGAGAACCTCTGACTTTTCCCCAGAGTGGCATGGAGACCAGAATCTGGAGGCTCCTGTGCCGTGCCCCCCCCCCAAGAAGCATAAGATATGGATGAAGGACAACCAGTGACCCTAAAAGTCCCAGAAATCTAAATGAGGACGATGCAAAGGGATTGCATGGCTCCAATGACCAGAGCCTCTGTGGACGGCCAGTCCCAACACTGTGGCCCTTCCATATGCATTTGTCTTTGCATCCCCAGTGGCTAGCACAGTGGCCAGTAAATGTTCACTTTGTACAATAATGTAGCCAGGAAGACGGAGCAGTAAAGAGTTACCAGGGAAACTCAGTTCTGTTTACACCATTTTCCTTAATTCTCCATGTAACCCCCAAGTACCCTTAATAATAAAATAACTCTCCATCTCATACAAACAGAGAGAACTGTAGTTGCCAGAAGCTGGGGGGTGGGGGCAGAGAAATGAGAAGATGTTGGTCAAAGAGTATGAATTTATTTATAAGACGAATACGTTCTGGAGGTTTAATGTATAGTGTGGTAACCATAGTTATCAATACTGTATTTATTGTATGCTTGCCATTTGCAGAGAGATCTTAAATGTTCTCCATAAACATAAACACACAGAGGTAACTATATGAGGTGATGGAAGTGTTCACTACCTTACTGTGGTAACCAGTTCACTATAGAGAGAGAGAAATAGAGAGACAGAGAGACAAATCATCATGCTGTATACCATAAACTTACATAATATTATCTGTCAATTATACCTCAATAAAGCTGAGAAAAAAGTCTCCAAGATCTCTCTCTCTCTCTCTCTCTCTCACACACACACACACACTGCCACATACACACTAATAATAATAACTCTAACTAGCCTCTGATGAAAAACTGATGAGGAAATGTGAAAAACAAATAAGTATATAGAATTTCAAAATCTTTATGGTTATAAGCTCTGTGAGTATAGGTCAAGACTGGAAACAAACACCTAAAGTATTTTTCAATCATGAATACTTTATTACATTAGTACTAGATATGTTAATTTTTCTCCTAAAATTTTATATAACCAATATATCATAAATATACAGAGGGTTTCCTTACAAATGTAAGTATCAGGCCAACTTCTGTGTTTAGCAAATGTTTAATAAACATATGCCCTAGATCCTTATCCCCATCCTTCCCACCCCACCCTGCACAGTCCCTCCCACACACTCTTACATTGTGGTTGTATTTTTTACATTTTCATCCACATGGCGCAGAGCCCCAATTTGCCAACAGAATTCTCGGGGAGTGGCACCGTATCACAGTGTTGATGTGGCTAGGAAGTGGTCATCGCTGCACGTAAACAGAGCAGGCCAAGGGCGCCTTCATTCTCCTCCGGCCATTTTCAGGGGGCTGGGGCAGTGGAACCGCTCAGGACTATGCTATGATTTGGAGGCGCCCCAGAAACCTAACACTATACCTACTACAGAGCTTTGAGAATTCCGCACAGGTCTTATCAAGAGGCCTATGAAGTGGAGAAAATTGGGACCGCACAGGACTGGCTGAAGAGCGCTGGGTAAGGAATGGCATTTTCCAGCTTCTTCAGCCAAGCGGCCGTTCAGGCGCGCACGTAGCGGACGATGGGGGTGACACAGGTACAGCCCACAGTCACCCGCACCTTCTCCAGCCGGAAGGTGCGAGAGCAGCCCTGGGGCTCCCTCCGCAGGACCAGGAATTCCTGCTGGATGGGAACGGAATTCATGGAGCTGTCTTCCTGCCCCTCGGCGTTGATGCAGCCCGAGTGCCTGCACTGGGCCTCCACGATCTCCGAGGGGAACCGGTTGGGGTCCCGGGTGATGCTGCAGGAGGAGCAGATGAAAGCAGGTGGTGAGACAAGGGAGATGGAGATGGACAAAAGTGAGAGCCCCGTAGCGCTGGCTGCTCACCTGCAGGGAGGCATTTCCCAGTAACCCAGGGCTGTAGCCAGCTGGCCTGGATTCATACACGGCCCTCCGGCAGGTGTTTAACTGCCAAAGCCTGTTTCTTCCACTCTAAAATGGAGATTCTCATAGGTCTCTTTCATGGAATGGTTGAGAATATTCAGTGATACAAATGCACACAAAACGCTACACTGAAATATTGGCATTCAATAAATGTCAGATCTTTTCTTTTTCATTGCCCTGTTGCTATTATTTAGTTTTCACCCTTTGCCTAGATATGGAACATGACTAGTCAGTCTAATATACAGTCTACAAAGCCTGCTGCTTGGAGAGGTAAACCAAAGCCCCAGAGGTCTGTGAAGGCACCACATACTCTCAGTTTCTTCCTGAATACCCGCTCTGCCAGGGGACACAAAGGCAGCAAAGCCATGCCAGCCAACTTGCCACTCCTTTCCTGTGGGAAGCAATTCAGGCAGCCCCAGAAGCCCTTCTAATTGTCCCTGGAATCTGTCTTCATACTTGGAGCATGTAGATGAGACCTTGCTATTCCAAGATCCGGCACGTCAGATAGCATCACAGGACAGTACCCTAGACATCCCATCCCCAAACGGGCCTCTCACTCTGCCCTCCTCACCTTTCCTTGCAGGCTGATGTCTAATCTGAGTGGAGCACTCCAAACGGACTTTCCTGGCTCCCACGTATTCAGATGCAAAGATTATTACGTGGGCTGCTTTAAAGAGCCCCCTCTTCCAAGACAGAAAGTTTGTAAATACCAACCCAGGGCTGCGTGGAGCAGGCAAAGGCAGAGAGTCAATGAGAAGTTACAAGTAAAACAGTAGGACCTCTGACCACACAGGAGGACCCAGCCAGAAAAGCAAACTGTGAGCTCCCAGGCAAAGTGGGATTTCTGTTTTTAAGAGCAAATATTAGGGCTTTTATTTTTTTCTATATTTTCTAAATTCTCTACTTTATGATTAGAATAAATAAACATGTTTTTCAAAAGAACGTGAAGATCAGTCTCATTTGCACTTACTTGTAATCCCAGGGGGAACTGGAGCGGTTCTGGAAATCATTTGAGATGGAAATACCCCCCTGGTTTTGCCTGAGGATGCGAATGTCGACCCTCACGCTGTTATCCTCCAGGGGAGGGCACAGGGCTGTATCCCCTGCTTTAGGGTTTTTCCGGGCTGTCACCTCCCTCAGGAGGGTGAGCCCCAACATCAGCAGCAGCAGGGACTTAACCTGCAAAATAGAGAAAGTTGAGTTGGTTTGGAACTCTGGTGTCAGTTGCTCTCATCCTCTAGCTGAACTCAGCATCCCCAGTCTTTTGTGGGACCAGGGCTTCTCTCTGAACCTCAGGTCCTCACCTGAAAACGGGAATAGTCATACATGAAGATATCAGGGTGCCAAACTGAGTATATACTCATTAGCCTGGTGATTGAGACTCCCACAGTCTGAGACTTCCTCAACAGTGGGACAGAAAGCTTAAAAGGACCTGAGACTGGGTTTAAATCTTGACCTGGCCTCATCACTGAATCTCTGGTTTCTCTTCTTTCCAACTGGGTTATAATACTCCCTTCATAATAATATTCACAAGATTAAATCTAGTGTTCTATATAAAGTACCTATAAATTTATCTAATAAAAATAAAGGATTAATAAATGATAGCTCTTGTTTTTAGTTCCAACCTTGTATTTCATGAATTCTCCTTCCTCCCAGCCAGCCATCTCTCCACATAGAATACACTGCCCCCACATCTATCTATCCAAACCCTACACTTCCATCAAGGCCCCACTCAGAGGTAGCCTTCTCTAGGAACCATCTCTAAAGTCATTCAATTAAAAATACGTTCATTTTCCTTCAGCCATAAAGCACTTGCCATCTAGCATTCAAGTGTCATTTCTTTACTGTCTGGAAATGTACTGTGTTCATGTCAGATATACACCTATTGGATTATAAGTTCCTGCAGGAGAACATGTCCTAGAACAGGTGTTCCACAAATAATTTCTGGATGAATGAAATGAAAAAAAAACCAATACAGTTAAATTAACAATATATTTAAACTCAAAGCACTAAGAAAAGCACTGTGCAAAACCAACTATAGCAAAGTTCCAATTATCCATGTTAATTGAAAGAAGCAGAGCCACTAATGATGCACAACTACAGAGAATATGGAAAGTATTTGTCTTTAGCTCTGAAACATATACTTTTCCCTACTTACATTGAAATATCAGTTTATCTGGTATTACAGGAATGCACAAAGAAAGTGCTCTGTGAAGACCTACCTAAAAGAAGAGGTAAAAATCTCTCTAGCTTCCTTTTGTCACACCCATGCTCTGCTCACCCCACCATTACCACCAACCCTTACTGGGGATGGACAAGGCCCATTACCAACTCTCAACATGATGCAGAAAAGGAGCTGAATCTGGGTTGCTTTCATTCTCTGGGCTCAATGTTGTTCAGGCTCACACTTTCCATGGGTTAAGGTAGGGGAGGTTATTAGACATGTCCATTTAAAGGACCTCCTTTTTATATTTTACAGATGCTGGAGGCAAGAAATGACAAGACTAAAGGGAAAGGTCATGGTGTCAACTTGCCGTATGAAGGTAGGTGACACTAAAAAGAAGTTGAAAGCAAGATTGACCCAGATAAGCCCAAATGAGGCTGATCTGCCTTCAGATAATCAGCAGTTGTCTACTTTCATCTACTACAATCATTCATTCATTCAGCAACTTTTTCTCAACTGTATAGTGTGGTGACTCAAGATACATGCTCTGGAGTCAGATGTCCTGGGTCCATAACTCAGTTTCAGGACTCTGACTAACTGCCATTCACACTGCCAGCATGTGGTAAGTATTCAACACAGGGGGACATTAAGTAGACATTGTGCTAATGACACACAATGAACAGGAAAGATGTGGAATTTGCCCTCATGGATCTTCTGTCTAGAGCTATGAAATAAACTTTAAAAAGTTAAAGGATGCTCTTGTAGACCAGAGGGTTCTTAGGTAACTTCCCAAGCCTACCAGTTACTTCTTTAAGGTTTCTTTTTTTTCTTTTTTGAGAGAGAGACAGAAAGCACTCCCAAGCCGGGGAGGGCCAGAGGGAGAGGGACAGAGAGAATCGTAAGCAGTCTTCGTGCCCAGCAAAGAACCCAATGTGGGGCTTGATCTCACAACCGTAAAATCGAGGGTCGGATGCTTACCTGACTGAGCCACCCAGGCGTCCCTTGGGTTTCTTAAGAAAATTCCTCCTGTGTGTTTTCATCTTTTATCTTTAGTATCATATTCACTGAGTCACTTCTCGCTTTCATTATCAAAGCTTTAAAGTAACTGTATCTTATGGTTATGTGATTCAGCAATAATTTCCATGCTTCTAACAAATCATTATATTTGCTTATGTTCTTGGAGTATTTTAGAACACACTTTCACATCTCTTTGAATACTGGATTCTCACAACCACCTCACGAAGTAGGCAGAGCTAGTATTAATTATCCCAATGACACCGGTAAGAGTCATGCCCGAAAAGTAACAAACAGCTTCATTGAGTTCACCAGCTTGTTGGTATCAGTCAGGGGACTCAATCCTAGGTGTCAGTGGTCAGTACCATTGATACTAAAGTTCATTATTATTGTCAATATAAAGCCAGTCGTGGTGCTTTAGTCTTAGCTTTGCCTCCCATGAGGAGGCAAGCATTTTAAGCAATGTGAACAGCCGTGTCAGAATTGCATGAGCATTGTAGGTCACACAGCTCTTTATCAGGAAATCAGATAATGCCTGCATATCACTCTAGTTTGCTCCACAAAGCTTTTGATCCGAAACTGTAGATTTTAGTGGTTATGCACTACAGAGCAGGGGCTCTGATATGGCTCTTGCTGAATCTTAAGAAAATGACACATACAGCACTTCTCTGAGAGGTTCAGAGCATCTTATAGATTTGAATTCTTACAGGCCACCTATGAGGCAGATACACAGATATTACTCCTGTTCTATACACTAGGAACAGAAGCAAGAGAATGCACTAGTGAAGGTGGGCAGTATCAAGACACTGATGGCCTGACTCTCAGGCTCACCTGAGACTATCTGAGTATTTGTCTTCTTTTTTAATTTTAGTTCTTTTTAATTTTTACTTGTTTGGGGGGAGAAATAGAGAGACAGAGCACGAACAGGGGAGGGGCAGAGAGAGAGGGAGACAAAGAATCCGAAGCAAGCTCCAGACTCTGAGCTGTCAGCACAGAGCCCGATGTGGGGCTTGAACTCACGAACTGTGAGATCATGACCCGAGCCAAAATCGGACTCTTAACCGACAGAGCCACCCAGGAGATTCTGAGTATTTGTCTCCTGAACTGGTCTGTAATGTACGCTCACCTCTGTAGGAATGTGCTCCAGAGCCTGGCCAGTTCCTAAGCCCACAAGAATTTGCCTCAACTACTTACTGAGGATGTTCTACCTGCCTGTACCTTCCAGCTTCTAATCCTATTCTAATGCCCCTTGCATCATCATGTTTCTTGCCGATGGTCCAACAGATTACTTCAAACCAGAAATAGAAATGGCTTTGGAGTACAAAGCTACCCGATAGATTTTTTTTAGACACAAGGTCTTTGAATTTAGAAACCTTGCCTCTGAACCATTCGAGGAAAAGCATACTGTACTTGAAGCCGGTAAACCTAGATTCATGTCCCAGTTCTTATGTGTACAGTACCCAGTGATGTTAAATCACTCGACTCAATTGACCTTTTTTTTTTTTTTTTTCATTTGTATAATGGGGAAACTAATCCCAATCTACTTCCTGGGGTTGACAAGAGACTCAGATGTAAAAATAATAATATTAATATTTTACACATTGAATGCTTTCTCGATCCTTATTGTTATATTAAAATGACCAATTTAACTAAAAACTAAGCCATTTCAGAGTACAGATTTAGTCATTCTCTATGATACTAATTAATCCCCCCCAAAAAAACATATGAGGGAGATACCATTATTAGTCCCCTTTACAGATAAGGGGAATAATTATGCACAGAGCAGCTAAGTAATTGATCCCAAATCCCACATTTAGTAAGTAGTGGATCTAGGACTGACTCCAAAGCCTATGTGCTCTCAAACTGTTACACTTGGCTGCATTTCTGGTCATCTCTAAAATACCTAAATATGGTGTTATCATCACCATATACTATGACCTTTTATGAAATCCAAGCTCTTTTAAATGACGTGGCTTGTAAATGGAGAAAAAAAAAAAGAGGGTTTATTTAAGCCAATAATATGGTGAATAATTTCCCAAGCCCTGTTTTCAAGCTCCTCTAAATTATATTCTTCCCAGCCTTTACCTGACTGATGTCAGGCAAGATTCTAGATCCAAAAGAGGTGCTTTCCATTATACTAACATCTCTCTCTCCTCCATGAGAAATGAGACAATGCAAAAATAATCAGCTGTCTTAGGCACAGCCAATTTCCCTCCTCTGGGAGCTATCCAAAGTTCAACACTGGGTGGTTCCACTTCTTTCATCCTGGGCACTCTTTGTCTACTTATAGTCTTAGGGGAGTCATTAAACCTCCTGGAGCCTCACTATCCTTGGCTAAAATACATGTGTACAGATCCTAAGAGGCTGGAAGTCCTCACCATGAAATAAGAGTTTTAGACCAACCTAACTCTATAATGGTGGCCACAGGAGAGATCATGTTCAGCTGTCTGTGACACCAAGAGTGAGCAAGCTATCAATCACCTATGCAAAAGCCACCACATGAGGAGCTATGTTTTATACCCCATTATAACTTCTAGTTATTTTTTTCTTTTTCCTCCACCAGACAGGGATCAAAATTAAAGTCGGTTCTGCTTTTAAGAAAGAATACCAATAAAGACCCCAATCAAACCTAATTCCTTAGAAATCTGCTATCCTGAAATCCTAGGGCTGACCGCTACTGAACAGCAATTATTTTTACTCACCATGGCTATGTTGCACAGGATGGTCTTTGTCATTTTGCTCGGGTTGTCTGCTTTGTGTAGTAAATTCTTCCTGTATGTATGTGTGTGTGGTGTCGCCCCGTGTCAAATGTCGCCTGTGCTGTGTCAATGAGAGCACCTGTCGGTTTTATAGCAATCACTGTCCTTATTTCGATTGACCTGCTTACTGTCTAAGTTGTGGTTACCCCAGAATTACTGACGAATGTAGTTTTTTTTTTTCCTCTATTACATTTCCTGAAGGGGAATCAGAGAGGGACCCTAAAAGGGATGGCGGAAAAAGGGCCAAATCTTCCTTTTCTTCCACCCCACCTCTACCCCCATTGGCCTCAAATTACAGCAAAATTCTTAACTAATTTACTACAGAGATGAACCAAATTACAAATTGCTGTCATGATCTTTTATGTTCTTCCACAAATGGCTAACGACTCTTGTCATGTACCATATGTTCTACTTTCCTTCATAGGATATGAACCATGATTTAAGTGAAAGGTATGTCATCCTTAGAGGATCCTTGATATTAAATGAGAGGACTATCTTTAGTCCATTTTTGAGTGAGAAAGCAAAACCAAAGAAATTAATGACATCAGTGAGAGATTCAAAATTATTTCCCCAGGTAGTTTCCTCCACTCCCTGAACAAATTCTATTTTAACCCCATGCTTAAA